TCTGTGGTTGAACAGACCCACCCCCACCTCTCTCCACCCTCCTCCAAGGGACTTGGACAGAGCCACAAGGTCTCCTCTCAGCCTCCTTTTCTCCAAGAAGGCTCTTTGCAGAGCCCTACGAAGTGTCCAGCCTGGTCCTGCTGCTCCCAGGACTCCTTGGCCCTGGTCCAGCCTCCTCCGAGCTGCTGCAGGAAGAGGGTCCCAGGGGAGGAACTGCCCTGTCACAGGACATGCTTGGCCACGCTGAGTATTTTTGCAGCACCTCCACCTCACGTGCACATGGAGACCATCCAACCTGACCCTCCACCACCTCGGTCAGCCTCAGCTCTCCATGCTCTTGGGTTTTCAGTCACCCCATGAGCATGGCCAGGAGGCTGTGATCCTCCCAGGCTGCACAAACAGCCCTTGGACAACTGGGGTGGATGCTGTAGCCCCCATCTCAGTGCCACCCTGTTACCCAGGCATGTCCCCAACCCCTACCTGGAGTCCTTTGGAAAGAAACAACCCCACCCTGTCCCAGCAGAGACCATGTGCCCAAGAGGGTCTGGTTGCACTGAGGTGCACAAGTCCATCCCAGGAGGTCAGGCTGGGCATCACCAGCGCTGCTGCTGTCAGCACAGGCTGGGCAGGACCGGCTGCTGTCAGCACGGGCTGGGCAGGACAGCGCTGGCATCGGGTCCATGTCACCCATAGTAGCACCCACACTGTGGGGTGCCCAGTGCCAGCTCCACCCTCCTCCTGGCAGATGCTGACAGCTACATCACTGGGTTTAGGAGACAACACGAGCCCTGGAGAGGATCCTGCCCAAGATGGGACAGCTCAGCCTCGTGACACAAGCAGCACCCATGCACCCTGTCTGATCTGAGAGGAAATTTGGGGTGAAACCCAAACCCTTCTCCTGGCAACCCCCATGACAACAAACAACCTCTCTGGAGCTCCACCAGGGATGTCATTTCACTGCAGGGGTGGACCAGCCACAGCAGATTTGGGGCTGCTCTGCAGCTGCTCAGCAACGTTGCAGTCGGCACCGAAGGGGTGAGATACCCCAACCCAGCCCAGCACCCAGTGTCACCATCACCCACTGATGGGTGGGCTGGGGGGGTGGGTTCTTAATCATCCCCTTCCCACGCAGGCTGGTGCTGGTGTGGGTGATGCCCAACAGCAGAAAGGGACCGTGGGTGGGATAAAGACCGGAGCAGAACTAGACTGCGTGGGAGAATCGCCTGCATGTGATGACTCAGAGGGGGAAAAAAAACACCCCAAGTGACATTGGGGTGGCTGCCACCACCAGGGACAGTCCCCACAGCTCCTGCTACCACCCAGCCCCACTGGTGTGGGCAGAGTCAGGGTGGTCTGGCCCCCACGGCACAGCTGAGCATCACCAGCACATCTCAGAGCATCACCACCACCCCCAGTCTCACTGCACAGCCCTCACCCCCCAACTTCTCCCTGCCCCTCCATGGGGCTGGGGGGTCTGTGTGGGAGGCAGATCAATGGCCACGTCACACAGAGTGGGGAGAGTGACAGCAGAAAGTGTCTCCACTTGTGACCTGCCCCACTCAGGACCCCCTGCCCCGGTCCTGCCCTCCCTCCCCAGCGCTTGGCTTTGCAGGATTAATGAGTGTTCAGCAGCTCTAAGCCCCAGGCTGGTGGATTAGGTGACCAACGTCCTCCTGCTCAGCACCCCGTGAACCAAGAGCTGGGGGAAGAAGCTAAAACCATCTCATTTCCTGCTCAGACGGTTGCGACAGAGTCACACGTGGTCCTGGCTCCAAGGGGACACCATGGGGAAAGGCAGCACTGCCAGCTCTGAGATGAGCAATGTCCCACGTCCCACTCTCCCCCCGAGCTCCTTCTGGTCACCCCACAGCTCATGGGGCAGCTTCTGGGAAGGAGAAACCTAAGAGTGGACCAAGCACCCTTCACAACTGCCCAGTCTCACCCCAAACTCAGCTGCCCCCAGGTCGATCTCACACCTCATGGTCAGCACCTTCTGCCCATCCCACCGAGCCACTCACCTGGCAAGGGACACGCAGGCAGTGTCCCACACCACCCCACACCACCCAAGGCAGGGGGCTACAAACCCACATGCCCCAGGGACACATTCCTGGGGTTGCTGTGAGCTGCAATAACCAGGGGAAGCATCATCAGGGCATGTCCATCAGGAAGTGACACCCCAGGAGCAGTGTCACCCATGGACACCCACCTCAGCCTCTCTGAGCACTTTGGGGGCAAACCCAGGGCTGCAAACCCAGCTCTGTGTCAAGGGGTCACGTTCACCTCTTGTTTCTTCAGGTCAAGCCAGAAACACTCCCTGAAATGCACCATTAGGGTCAAGTAGGTGGGTTCCCAAAAGGGAGTATCAAGAGGAGCAGAGCAGGTCCCACAGCACCCAGGACAGGTCCCCAGGATCTCCTCCCACCAGAGCAGGAGCAGCAGCTCATCCCTGTGGGCAGATGGAGACAGAAAGGGATGGACTCTGCCCTCCTGTCCCAGCCCCACACTGTCCAAGAGCCAGAACCCATGTGATGGGATGTCCAAGCAGCCACCATGGCCACGGACCCACCCTGCAGCTCCTGATGAACCCCCAGCTGCACAGCTCCAGCCCTCCTCTCCCCTCTCCCCAAGGGGGTCAGGGCCACCAGCCAGGCTGGATCCAACCCCGTTGGAGCAGCCGAGCTCCCTGTCACCCCCTGGGGCTGCTCCAGGGAGGACCAAGCTCAGGGATCACCAAGCTCAAGGGACCAAGATTTGTCCCAACCAGGAGAGACACATCCCCAGGGGGTCACAAGGCAGCAGGAGGGTTTGAGTCCTGGGGTCACATTGCAGGGGGCTTCACTAAGGTCCCCTCAGCAGAGCTGGCTTCCTCCCTCTGGCCCTCCATCCTCCAATCCCACTGTCCCTCCAACCCCCCTGTCCCTGCATCCCCACTGTCCCTCCATCCCTCCCGCTGTCCCTCCATCCTCCAACCCCACTGTCCTTCATCCCCCCATCCCTCCTGCTATCCCTCCAACCCCGCTGTCCCTCCATCCTCCATCCCTCCTGCTGTCCCTCCATCCCAGACTCTGCCCCAGACTCTGCCCCAGGCAGGGAGGACCAGGGGGTCCCCCTACCCCCCTTCACACAGACAAATGCTGCTTAACTCACTTCCTTGCAGCCTCCCCCCTTCCCCAACACCCCACTGCCCAGCAGCCCCCAGGGTGGGCACCCAGCACCCAGCACCCACCCCAGGGGCAGCTGCAGGGAGAGGAGCCCACAGGGAAAAGGCTGGACAGACAGACAGACAGACAGACCAGTGCAGAGGCTTCAAAAAATAAAAATACATAAAAATACAGCGTGTGACATCATTTTTACAGTATTTACAGCAGCAGGGGGGGCAGAGGCACTTGGGGTGCAGGCAGGGACCCTCTTTGGGGGTACCCACACAAAGCAAAGGGCCAGCAGTGGTTGTCACCGCCTGTGACATGGTGGAACGTGACCTGGGAGAGGACACCAGGGTCTCACTGATGTACCACAAGTTGATCTTCCCTAAAAATCACTCTGGCTACAATAGTGACACAGACACACCCCCCCACACACACACACACAGCCCCCCAAAACCCCCACTCAGGCACAAAAGCCACCAGTCCCTGTCACAGGGCAAAGCCTGGTGCCCTCACCGAGAGCTCCACGTGTCTCTGTGCTGGCAGAGCAAGGGACAGCCACCACCACAGCCCAATCAGTCCCCAGCCCGGAGCAGGGTGGCACGGGGAGGTGTCCCCCA